CTCATGCAGAGACGCAAGCCTACATAGCTCAAAACTGGCAATCGCACCGTATAAAATCTAAAGAACAGTACGCATAGTCACTCATGACGTGGCGTCTTACCACGGGCCTCCAGCAATTGCGTCATCATGGTTTGCAAAGCCTGAAACTGCTCACGGTTCTCATCCCTATGCCCTTTGACGGCATCTGCAACCTCGTGGCTGAAAGTTTCAACCTGTTGTACCTTCTGACTGACCTCGTCAAGACGGTTGCCTAGCTGGCTTACCTGTTGTTTTACATCCTGCATGCGAGCCTCGGTGATGCGTTCAACCAGCTGCTCCAACTGCGTCTCTGAGACTGCCATTCCCGCAGAGGATGACACCGTAGTCACGCTGGGAGATGTCGGCAATGAGAGTCTGTTGGCAGGTGCGGGCTTACAGAGTGTCCCGCGCTGATTCCAGGGATCCTTGAGTGGGTCAAGCCAGGGGTCAGGTGCCTGACTGGGTGCCTGAGTTGCAGACTCGGCTTTTGGCCAAGTTTGATGTGACGCACGTGCTCCGATATTGGATTGAGGCGCTTCTTGCGTGATGGAAACAACCCCCGAATCCAGGTGAATCAAGTCCTTGGGTGGCTTTTCCGTAGCCCCGACAATCCAACTCATACCTGTAGAGGCGTTTTCGGCCCGCAGTGGGACGACGGTCCACTTCCAAGTGTGAAGGGCTTGTGCAAGTGCGGCGGGTTTCGTGCCGAAGGGCAGGCCTCTGACTCGCCACACCGATGTATGAATGACGGCCAGGTTGGCTGGGATGAAATAGTCGGCTTGGGCCCATTTAGTGCGCGCAGCCGCAATGCCCTCAGCAGTAAACTTGGCCTTCAGCCCACTAGCCACGAGCATGAGCCCGCGGAAACCAGCAATGGCCTGCGCAATTTTGTGCACTTCTTCAACCGCTGCGATGTTTGCAGATGGTGGGTTGTCACCCACGCCAGGCAGTGAGATGCGCACTGCAGCTGTGCGGTCAGCAGCATCTGGGCCTGCGGCCTGCACTGGGTTGCAGAAAATACCCCCTAGCCCTGAGTTGATCTCACATGCAGTGGCCACTGAAGCCTTGACCTTGACAGGAAAACGCAGGGCAAGCGGGCCCTTTCGCATTTCAACCGCGGGCAAGACTGCAAGGATGGAGTCAGGTCCATGGAGCTTAAGGAGGCGATCTCCAATCATTGCCTTTCCATGCCATGGCTTACTGAGACGTGTCCACACCTCCGGTTCAGTGAGGCATTGGAAAATGGATACCTGCATGTCAACATGTGTTTGTGCAGGCAAGCGCAGTTCAGCATTAATCATGGCTCGGCTAACCATGGGGGCACCGGGCGGGCTAAGGTGATACAGCACCATGGGCATCTTGTCTCCCCTCGGCTCAACCCGGGACGTGGCTGGGTCTCGGATTGAGAACTTGACCAGCTGGGCATATTTCGCATCAGCTGCCGGGCATGCAGCAAGCATATCCTCTATGGAACCTGGCACAATGACAGCAAGCGTTTTGTCTGACGTGACTTTAAGGACTCTGGCAAAGTGCTCTTGCCTAACCAAGGCGAGCCCGCAAGCGCCCTGACAAACATCGTTGACATTGATGATTGTTGGGTGCTCGGAATCGTCACCTCCAACATCCCATTCCTCCGGAATTAACTTGAGCTCATGGAACGGGGTGCGCGGGCCACTGGGGCCGGCGGCCCTTCCCCGCCCCTGCTGGGTACTGAAGCCAGCCTCAGTGCCACCAAGAGCCTTCAAGCTGTTGACAAGATCTCTTCCTCTCTTGGTAACACATCTATCTCGGAAGGCTTTAGCGTCATGGTCCCACGAATGCTTGAACCAACTCCGAAACTTAGCCAAATCGATATGGCCTTGATGAAACTCCTGCAGAGCCTTGAGAGCCTTGTCCTGCGCATTCTGGAATGAAATGTTGCCGTTTTCGGCATGTTTCCGTCTGTTGCGCGTCTTGGCAGTGATGAACCACTGGTGTGTTGCGCCGACGGCTGTAGGAATGCCCTGACACATGATCTGGAGACGACCTCGGGTTGCGACATGTAGGGTCTGAATGATGAGCCCATGAGCCCTCTCCGTGTATCTGAAACGTCGGCGCCTGGGTGCAACTATTCGACGTCTGCGAACATTCCTGGCAGCAATGGCCCACTTCGTGCGCTTACAGATGCATGGCTGCGTGGAGCATTCCACACACCAGTGAGCCACTGAAATGGTGCACATGATCAAGAGGCAGACGCAGGTGACGCTGACTAGAAACATGAAGTGATGGATGCATGTATCATCCGGACTATTCTGGCTACGCAGGAGTTGCATGTAGGCATTGGAAAGCCATTCGGCAGCGGATTTAGCCCCTGAGATCACTGCGTCGTAGATCTCAGAGTGCGCCTGGAACTTGGGATGCCACCACAGCAGCATCCCGCTGAGTACCGCTGCCATCTCCAGGCAGAGTCCGCACACCCAACCAGACCTTGCTGAAGCTGTCGTACATGAAGGTTGCCCTGCCGATGTGGTTGTTTCGCGAGCTCCTTCTGGAGCCGCATTAGTGCTCGGAGACCACCGCTGTAAGGTGCGCTGCATGAGCGCATTCTCGTCCCCCTCATTCTCCAGATCCTCCTCCTCTTGCGTGCCTTCGGCCGTGCGGGCGACGGCCTCCGCAACCCCAAGCGTTTGGGACACTTCACTCATCAGGTACCGTAGCACTGTGATGAGAGCCAAAGTGGACACCGCTCGATTTTGTGGGATCATGCCCTCATGTACCACGGAGATCTCTCGGAGGAGCGGGATCGGCAAGAAGGAGCTGGGAACCTTACCTTGGCCTGGACCAGGAGGGTCATACTCCGTCTTGTTGAACAGCAGGTACCTCCACAACCCGACAGCTTGCGACGTGCTCATCGGCGCCCTGAGGTCCGGCATGCCGGGACGAGTCGGGCACCGGTCCGTGCTCCCTGAAGCAGGTTCCGTATCTCTTCGTGGCTCCTCCAAGGTGACTGTCACATACTCGCTCTCTGTCCGCTGCCTTGGTAGCCTCGACGACGAACCCCTGCTGCCATCTGCCTGTCGGCTCCCCCTGCTCGATTCAGCAACTCTGGCTCTTGTAGGTCGAGGCTCCCATCTGGGGGTGCGCGAGTCGCGAATTCTGCGTCTCCCATTGCTGTATCGATGTTCCATGAGGCTGGTGGTGTCCCCCGTCCCTGGCATTTGCAGCGCATCAGCATCCCTGTTCCTGACGAAAGCCATGTGGAGGACGCGTTCTGCCGCTTCCGCCCTTTTTCTGAAGTCCAGCGGGGAGAGGTCCTCCAGTGTGCCTGAGCTGTTGGGGATGCCATTGCCCAGTGTGGCGATAGGCTGAGTCGCCCAGCGCTGGTACTGCGAGTCCCCTCGTTGGTCCACCACCGATCGCAGCATTCCCACGATCATTCCAACTGCACGTCCTTCCTCAAACCAAGCCCAGAAACGTTCCATTAGCCTTTCCCATTGGTCCTCGAGGTTGGCAGGCATCTGGAAGAAGCTGGAGGCGTTGTCAGGCGGGTTCTGCTTCCTGGACCTGCTTCTGGACCTTTCACATCTGTGCACCACCCCTGCGAGCCCTGTGTGTACCGGGTCGCCGGAAGAGGTGGCTTCGAATAGCAACCGGAGCATGGCCTCGTGATCCTCCCTATGTACCGCCTCAGGCTCCACATACAGCCTCCAACGCCGTCGTAGTTCGGTTGACACCCATTCAGCCCGGCCTTGGATCTCTGCCGGAGAAGGCGGTCCCATCCGACGGAAGATAGGGTCCATGAGGTCAGGCTCATGTGCTCGGATTTGGCGCTCAAGCTCGTTGTACATGCCCGCAATCCCCTCAAACAGGCCACCCTCCGGGAACCGCAGGATGTGCTCCTCGATGGCACACAGGAGGGGAGTAGCTTCGCCTCCCCGGTCCATGTCAAGTTGACATCTTTCCACCATATCCACAAACCATGCGGGCTCTTCACCGTCCTCCCAAGGTCTGTCAAAGGCAAAGGCCGCAGAGCACAAGAGCGGTCCTCCAATTGTGAGCCCCGTCGTCAAGAACCCGGTTTCGTCCCCTTCATCCGGCATCGCCTCACTTGCGGTAGGCGGTGCGACCACCACCGAAGACCGGTCCGAAGCGGAGCTGGTCGCAGTGGTAGATGGCGGTGGCTCAGTACCCGACGTCCCCCAAGTGCCACTTTCTGTGTGAACCCATGCGGCTTGGAAACGACCAAACGGGATCGCCATCGGTTGAGCGGGTACCTGGGTGGACATGACTGTGTTGTTGCTCGGCACCTGCTCGATCGGTTCTGCTCGGACATGCACCTGCCCAGACTCAGTCAGGTAGTCCTGGTAGCAAGCCATTTCCACCTGGGCAGCCCACTTCCGTTCTTCTTGCGAGAGGGCTGCAGTGTATAGATTGTGGTGGAGCTGTCGACTGAACTCCTGACGTAGCGGGCGAAGGTATCGCTTACACCACTGGTGGTACCCCATGTGATCTCGTTGCTGAATCCGACGGAGGACTCCCATCCACATTGGTTCGAACCCTTCCCCACGCAGGCGGAGTGCCTGCAGGCTGGCCACGGCCGAGGTCAACCATTGCATTCTGGGATAGCTGGAACGTTCTGTGGGCCCGTCGGGGCATGTCTCCCCCTTTCAGCTCGATGCGCATATGGTTGACCCCCCGGTAATTTGGCAAGTTGAGCTAGGGCCTAAGGTTTAAGGTTGAATAGGGTTACTGCTGGTCACTGACGGTGTCAACCAGATGAGGGTTCTGAAGGCTTCAGGTTTAGAATGTACTGGGTTCAGGGCTTAAGCTTTAAGACTCGAAGTGCAAAGACAAAATCTCGACTTGGTAGTAAGGCTCCTCGAGACAGCACGAGTCTACGGATACGCCTCTACAACCTCATGACAAAAGCTATCTTTTCTCAATGCTTCAGCCGCACGTCTGCTGAAGATCCGCGAAGCCCACGACCCAACTGAGCAGCCGGC